AGAGGCAAAGACGCCACTCCCAGCGAGATAAGGCAAATTTGAAAACGAAACACCGAGTAAGTTCAAATTTACTAGGAATTTCAGAGGAAAAGATACCAATCTTCGACGAGATTAAAGAAGCAAGCAAAGAAATATCAAATACAAAACCTACAAGTTAACAAAAACATACATGTGAAGAAGGAGAAAGTACCTGTTCAGAGAAATTCGGAAATAAATGACGAAGTAATCTCGATGAGAAGTAGAGATAGAAATTAGAAGAGGCAATTCCTTGAGAAAACCCTAGTCAGATATTTAGAAGGAAAGCAGTGGCGCTCTGGTTTTCGCGGGTGTGAGATGTACGAGCTCTTTTTGTGCCCTAGCTTGATATTTTAGTAGTATGATTTATGAGATGGGGGCTTTATTGGGTACGGCTGGTTGTACATTGTGTGGCTCGTCTTGATTGAACAGGGACCACTAAGCCGCTCCCTGGGCCTTTGTGCCTAAAATGGGTAGGGCCCGTGTCCCATTTTAAAAAATAATTTTCATAAAATTTTATTTATTAATTTTATATTTATTTTAATTAAATAAAAATAAACAATAAATTCATATAAATCTAAAAATATGTAGGGCCCGTGTCCCATTTTAAAAAATAATTTTCATAAAATTTTATTTATTAATTTTAATTAAATAAAAATAAACAATAAATTCATATAAATCTAAAAATATATATATTTTTTTTTTTTTCAGTTGAAAAAGGATATATTATGTTAATCTAACATCAATTGAATCTGAATTTAATTTTTATTATTTAGTAATAAGATTTTTATAGTTTACTAATAAAATATACATTTTGTGATTATAATAAATAAAAATGTGTTAGTCAAATTACGCCTTGTCTTAGCTCTATTTTATATGTTTTCACAAACATATAAAATTTAAAAAAAATTAAAAAAAACAAATAATGTAACATACCAAATGTAATTTATTTAGTCAACAAGCATGACAAAAATGAGATTCCGGTGCCCGTAAAGCGAGGTTTCAGGACATTTTAGGCAACTCGAAAAATCAACCCGAAAATCCATCTAATGAAAGAAAGTACATCAACGAGGATTCACTTGGAAAGCCGATTCTCAAATGAGCAACAGGTCCACAGGTGGAATAATCTTAATGGACTACGTAATAAGAAATTTACATGTTCACATGGCATAACTAAAAGCATCCAGAACACTTCAAAACTTTCAAACAGTAAACTATGATATATCGCTACTACTCAACCTCATAATTCTGAATTCAGGGTCAGATTACACAAATCGACCGACGAACCAATAGATAGTCACATAAAGTACAAAGCTTTGATATTGGATAAAAATCCAAAGGATAGCCACTTATTTACGGACCAGAGGTTAAAAGAGACACCTTCTTGCATCTCAGATTCATCTCTTACATCTCATAGGAACAAGTGTTTGAACTCCCCATTTGCAAGCTGACAGAGCTGGTTGTAGTTATTTGTATCTGCCACCATTTAAAGTAAAAGCAGGCATGTTAGAAACTGGAAAATGACTAGAATTTTGAGATGTACTTGGGTTCACAAAGGGTTATTTTTGTTGCTATACCATGTGAAATAAATTGTGTATAATTAAAAAAACAGAAATTAATCACAAATTTACATGTTCCCTAAGCAAGGTCTAAATGCTGTTGCCAGATAAAATGGCTCCAGGCAAGTGAATAATTAATTGTATGCATATATCGAGATAGCAACTATTAGAATGCACAAGCATGATACACAAAAAGATGCAACCAAGCTAGGAGGTAAAAAGGTCATTAACTTGACAAGAAGTGCATAAATCTTTGTTTTGCCCGAGAAAAACCTAAAATGAGGTCTGTATTGATTTCCTATAAACAAATATTTAGAAAACAAGAACCAATTAGTAAGTCTTGAGACTAAACTAGCACATTGAAGGTTACCCAAAACACATATGCCTTGTCCATTAAAAAGTATTCAAGGACAAACACAACCATATGATCAGCATCCTAGAAGTTTGTGGAACAAGATTATTAATCATCATGTTGATGCTTTAAGTAGTATCAAAAGCAGCAGTCAGTAGTCAATACAGACAATGTGACACGGACTCCCAATAAATAAAGTTATGTATTACATTAGATTTGAATTGTCTACAAACCCATTAAGGTAGCAACCTAAATATAATCGAATTACATCATTGAGAGGGCCCAAACCACAGTAAGGAAAAAGGTCTAAAGACAATAAGATTATCTTACCAAATGTATCCCCAAAGTTGGTCCATATTTCAGCCCGAATAGATTTTTCACCATCAGCAATGCCAATAACTTCAACAAACTTTGTAAGAGAGCCAGGCGCCGAACCCCTCACAGTTAGCTGATGGTCATCTGTAGATTTTCCAATCACAGATCCACCATCAGAATGCAACACCTGAACCACTGCACGAACCTTCTGTCCCACGTACATGCGTAGCAGCCCTCCATTGACAAAAACTGCAGGGTTTGACGTATCCATATCCTGCAAAGAACAAATAAACTAAGCAACATCCAAGAGTTTCTTGAGGATTGCATATCAGAAAGACACGGTGCACTGCACTACCAGCTCAGCTACAAAGATAAATCAACCTTAGTGATTTATAGATGCATATCCCACGTAATTTTCTAATAGCTGAAAATAATTACTAATAGGAGGCATGAATCTACTAGAACTTTGAAGTATATCTTGGTGTAAACATGAGGAAAATGGAGGTTATGCAAAATTTCCAGTCCGAACTCAAATCAACCGTCATAACCAACAAGAGACAGGTAAATAACAAATCAATCAACGTGATCCTTCTTGAGCAACAAGGTCACTGCCGAACTATTAAATCTGTGAGTACAAGTTGAGCAATAACTATGCACTGTATGAATCACAAAGACCTAAATTACAAGAATCAAAAACTAAACAAATCCATGGTCGAAGTGTAGTTTTAGTTATATACTGAGAGGAATGATCTTTCCAGAGGTTTGATTTTCATGCCTAGCATTCTAAAAGCTAGGAAATCAAAGCATGATATATATATATACATTTAACATAAATCCAGAAAAAAAAAAAAAAAAAAACAAGAAGAACGAGAACCCGATATCAACAAAAAAAATTCGTAGTTAAAGAGTATATCTTACTCCTGATTCAGCCGACGGAACTTAAAATTTTCCTAAACTTCCAGAGAAAACAAACAGGGTGTATAAGAGACACCTGATCGAGAAATCTGCAGATAGATCACCAAGAGAATTAAGTTTTGAAACCGAAAAAAGAGTTGAGAGATGGAGAGAGGGCGGTATTTCGATGGCGGCAAAATGAAATTAGGGAAAGCCAGGGATGGTTTTTATATTTGGGTAAGTGGGTCACTGTGCGCGGCCTATTTTGTTGACTTTCCATTTTCTTGCTGTTTTTTTTTTAATTACGTTTTATTTAAAAAGAAAACGTACTTTATTTTTCAAATTTCAGAACTTTATTATATTTACATATATAAACTCGATTATTTATAGAATAAAATATATAAATGCATTTATAATATAATTATTTATAACTCAGCATAATATAACTTTTATTAATTATATATCAATTTTATAAACATATGGTTAATAAAACTTTAACTTCTGTTTTTTTATTATTAATGTTTTCCTATAAGAAATATTAACGTACTCATTTAAACTTTATACTAAAGTTACACTTATTATTTCCCACCAAAATAAATCTATGCATTTTATTTTACTAATTACACGTGCGAATGGAATTGTGCAATCCATGATTTAAATCTTTAAAAAAATAGAGCAAATTATATTCTTCCGTAATATAATTTCATTATATTAAATTTTCTAATAATCGGAGTATATTATCATTTATTTTTTATTATTTATACAAATTTATTAATAATAAAAACAAACCACAATAAGTAAATGCTCAAGAAATGATACCTGAGGTAAGTAAACTCAGAAAATATAAGGACTCCTCAAAATCCTGCCATTTATCTTATTCTTTGATATACAATAATGTAAGTTCGGCTTATATTGGTAATTAATGAAAATGTGATTCTACACCAGTGTGTATCTGTTAGATAAAAATGATTTCCTCTCAGAATCGATGCCAATGCATCAGACTTCTCCATTGTCCTCGAAAGTGTCATTGATGCAGGACAAACTTTGGGGTTAGCTGAAGATAATATGGGCAGGTTACCAGATAAGAAATAGAAAATGCACAAGTACCTCCTTCTCCGGTTCTTTGTGAAGGTTGGAAAGATATGCGATGATCTCAAATCACAAGGCCGGATGATAGAAGCAAATCATTGGAGCTGTCCAAGAGCTTTGTGTGAGTCAATTCCACCAGTTTTCCTTTATCCAAAAGCAACACTCGCTGCGCCATTAGAACTGTTTCCAAACGGTGGGCAATAACCAGCACCTATCGACAGACAAACCAAGCCAACAAAAAGAAAAAGTTAAAATTGCAACAACAAGACAGCACCAAATGAATCTTCTAATAGCATGTTCAGTCAGTTTTGATTTTTTATTTTCCATTCTATTCCTTCACTCTAACTACTTGATAGGTAGGATTGGTAGTAGTTTCATATTTGGTTCAATACTGAACAGATTTAGATTCTCCTACATTAAATTCTACGATAATGAATTTAACATTTTCATTTTTATTATATTCATATTTCTTTAATGTAAGATCAGACCTAGACTTAGTTTTAGATTATATTTAGAACAAACAAACTATTTTTCTAGAGGTCAATTCGAAGTTCATACTGAATTCAATTGTGAAAAGTTTCGAACGGATTTAAAATTTTTAAGATTGATTATTGCAATTCTACTTAAAACTTTTTTAGAAGTCAATCTCTGTTCCTTTATAATAAATTTTCTATCATCTAATAATCAAACTAAATTTGAATTTCTAAATAGATCCTGCAATAAGTAGTTCTTTTCTCCAACAAAGCTTTAGACAAAATCCAATCTTACTGAAAAGCAATCAACGATCGCACCAATATTCTTTAGAGGGGTGGTGTCCTCCATAAGAGTAAAAAGGACAACAAAAAAGCTAGATAACCCAGAAAACTGCTATCTGATTAATTCCACGATATGCAAAGACAGAGTTTTGCTATCTTTCATTAAAATATTCTCATGTATTCCAATAGTTCTACATCCAATTAATCATATGCTCTCTTCTCCGATGGCACTTCTTATTTTAATATAATGCTAATGTTTCTTACAACCAGCATTTGAAAAACTGGATTCTGGGTCAGAGCATTGTTGTTAACTTTACCATATGCTTCCTTGGAAAGATAAAGCAGATTTAACTATATGATAAGTCCAGGAGAAACTTGTAGTCTTACAGTATGATTTTCCATCAAGCGCTCCACAGCTTGCCTGACCAGTAACTCAGACTTGCTATCCAGTGCTGAAGTTGCTTCATCCAAAATCAATATAGAGGAATTCTGGTAAAGTGCCCTCGCAATAGCGAGTCTGCATTTTCAAACAGATAAATATATTAAAAACAAAGTACTAATATTAGGAAAAAAAAAACAATATCTTCAACATTAGAATTGCAGGTTGCACTGAAAATAGTAGCTCCACCTTTGCTTCTGTCCTCCACTTAAACTTGAGCCCCTTGGTCCAACTTTAGTTTCATACCCTTCTGGAAGTGTTCTAATGAATTCATCAGCATTTGCAGCTTGTGCTGCAAGCTCAACCTTTTCCATGTCAACTTTTGTCATCAGATCCCTGTACCCAATGTTCTCAGCAACGGTCCCTGAAAAAAGTGTCTGATACAGGACGAAAAGTTAACACAAAATAATAAAAAGAGAAAATTATTGATAATGATGCCTATTTTCAATAATTAACCAGCCAGACCAGTAATCCCACTAAAAACGAATTTTTAACGGAGAATTAAATTTTATAGAGATAAATCCTTTGTCAAAGAGCAAAAAACTTTTAACCACTTGCTGACAAGAAACTACCATCAGCAGCACCAACCGAGCTTGAAATTTAACTGATAAACGACATTGACTGATCAGATCAGTCACCGATTTTCAGCACCAATCTTTCCTTTTTTTTCAGTTGACAAACAGAAATGTTCCTTTTTTCCTCCCCTTTTTTACCCAGTAAAATAAACCAGACCTAACACTTCCTAAGCCTCACATGAGCAACTAAGGAAACAAACAGCTTCTGCTAAAGTGGAGTAGCATCGTACCATTAATTCATGGTTTTTTATTGGAATCACTTCGCAAAATATCTAAATAAAAGAACATAAAATTGACAGGAAAAGTTGCCATCACTCACTATATCCTGTGAAACCAAACCAACATGCCTTCTCAAACTTCCCAGTCGGATGTCCCTGATATTGTGGTTATCTACAAATATAGAGCCTGCGATCATGGAAAAGAGGTGGATAAGTAAACAATAGAAGGTAGCTTTAGAGACTATATTACAATTCGACCAATAATTCAAATGACTCACCAGATAAAGGATCATAAAGGCGAAGAAACAATTTGATAAGAGTTGTTTTTCCTCCCCCAGATGGCCCAACTAGAGAAACTGTCTCTCCAGCTTTGATATGGAGGTTCAACCCATCCAAAACTAGAGGCATATTCTCTCCATATCCAAATGAAATATCACAAAATTTCACCTCACCTATTATACTTTCCAAGTCAGTGGCATAAGGATTATCAACCACCTTGGTTTTGAGGAAAAGAAGTTATAGTTAGATTAAGAGATCAACAAAATTAAGAACCTACATAGGATTATTGGCCCAAAAAGGTGGTCCTAGTTTTAAGCAGTCAAAACAATTACTTCGGTAGGAATTTTGGCAAAACATGTGCACATTTTACAGAAGAACAGCAACTGCAAAATGGCAACATCTTCTAAAAAAGATCATGCAAAATTTTCAGATTCCACTGAAAAGCACAAAAACAAAGTCAAAGTGTAGTATGAAAGAGAAAATCACTAACCATCAAGAAAACTGCAAATAAGGAGATTGTCATCATGAATTACATCTTATTTGGATCATGTCATCATGACAATTGCATCATTCTTCATAATTCACATGAATATAGCATACAATGACTGCAAAAATGGCAACATCTTCTAAAAAAGATCATACAAAATGGTCAGATTCCCTTAGAAAGCCCAAAGACAAATCAAAAGTGCATTATGAAATAGAAAATCACCAACCATCATGAAAATTGCAAACAAACAAGGAATGAAGATGGTCATCATGCATTAACACTGTATTTTGATCATGTCATCATGCATTAACACTGTACTTCGATCATGTCATCATGATAGCCACATTATTCTTCATAGTTCACATTAACGTGGTAATACATCAACATACTTAAACGCTGAAGTAAACTTACCGATCAGAAGAATAAAAAGCATCTCTCTACACAGACATTTCTCATTAGTCATGCTTTGATATAACGAACCAATGTAGAAAAAAAATGTAAAGTCCAACAAGTTCATGTTTACACACTACATGAAATTTGACCATACAACATTTAACACTTTCGCTTCTACGAATAAGATTAAAACAATAAAATCAATTCAAATAACTACAGAATACCTTCAATTTAGACCTGGTCAAATCAAACAAGCGTTCAATAGCTGGCTCCCCTTGTTTCAATTCATTGTATGCTTTCCCAATATCCTGCAAGATACGGTATTCAGATTGCTAAACCAAGACATTTTTCACCTCAATATTTTTTCTAGTTCTAAGAGGAAACAGAAGTATATGAAAAGCTTGTCAAGTTACAATATTTACCTGGATTGGCTCAATCAAAAAGATCAATGATGTCACAAAGGAAACCATGCTAGAGGCACTGAAAGAACCACCGGATAAAATCAATGATCCAGCACAAAATATAAACAATGCTCCAAAATAGATTGTTTGTATGATCTGGGGGATAAGTGCCTTCATTTTCTTCTTCTTCAGTTGCTCAGATAGGACAGCATGGGCAAGCCTTTCAAACCTTTTACTCTCAGATAACTCTACATTGTTAGCTTTAACCAAAAGAATGGCTGGAAGGACCTGGAAAATATCAACAGGTAATGAGTAGTGTACATCTGTTAAGAAGCCAAAGGAGACTCCAAAAACGCATCTAGTAAAGCACATGAACATATGCATCACTATACACGCTTCCAATGAATGTAGCATAAGAAAGAGGGAGGAAAGAGAACTATATACGCAGATATATATATATATATATATATATATAGAAAGAGAGAGAGAAGACATAAGTGCGTGGATGTGCTTGAATGCACAAGGAACACATGCGTGTGATAAGGAACAAATAATCAAAATTTACAGAAACACTTCAAACAAGCTTGGAACCATTAAAAAAAATTTGTACAAGCTTCATGAGAATACAGAAGTAAACCTCATTCAGGTAGGAGGAGAGATCAGCAACGCAAAGATGTGCCTTCTTGGATATCTTACGTAGCCTTTCACCGAGATATGCTACAAGAAGAGCCATACATGGAATCACCTATTACGGGAATCATAAAATGGAATTTTGCAGCACACATCATAGGTATCCTAGAAATCCAGAATGACTGTCTGGATTTTCTAGTACCATAAAAGTTCGAATTGAGGAAAGAAATATAGAATTCATGATCTGCTTTTCTCACCATAGCTGAAACCAATGAGAGGAGAGGACTGATAACCAACATTTGTGAAGCTATTGCTGATAACTGAAGTATACCAGGCACAATGGTCTGTCACAAAAGCTCATAATTAACATTATGCGAGAAAGAACACATGCATTTCTCAGATTTAGCTACCATAACCACAAAACTGAAAATAAAAATTCAAGTAGAAATGAAAAAATTCCACAATTGAACATTTCTTTGACATCTGGCAATATAAATTTATAAACAGAAAAACACGCATTATGCATTTGAACATGAACATACGGAATAACTCACATTTAGAAGAGCATATATAGTGTCAGAAACATGAGATGCCTCAGCAGTGATCCGATGTGCAATATCGCCGGGAGAAAGCCCACTTCGACCTTCAAAGAACCCAATCTCTCTCTCCAAAACCTTTCCAAAAACGTGCAGCCTGATATTATAACCCGCATTGAGCGCCACCTCCCACAAGAATGCCTGCTGCCAGTAACCGGCGAGGATCCTGACCAGAACCAGGATTCCCAACAAGAACCCATCGGCGCGGAGTTTGACTAAATTCGTCTGGCTGTTTACATCCGACGTGAAAGATCCGATTCTGGGGACGATTTGGGAGAGGGAGAGAACCGAGACGAGGCTGCAGAGCCATCCGGATAGGATGGAGGTGCGTTCGGATAGGAGGTAGGGTTTGATTTTGGAGAATGAATTAAGGTGTTGGGATGATGATGAAAGAAAAGAGGAGAGTCTGGTGGAATTAATGGTGTTGAATGAGGACAAAATGGGGATTTGCAGGGGAGATGAAGTGATGAAGCGAAGGGGTCTGGGTTTGAGGTGAAGAAAGAAAGGGGGAGGAGAGTGACGGAGCTGAGTGGGAAGGAGGGGGAGCATTTCTGAGTTTGAATGGTCTATGGTAATGGCTGGGAGGAGGGAAAGAGGAAAGCTTTGGTTTATATAGTTTGGCCCTTTGGTGCGGGCGGACCGGACCGGTCAAATAGACCGGCCCAGGTTGAGAGGAACGGAGGATTGGGTTTGAGTGGATGGGCCGATCCATTCGGTCTATGTCGATCCATTTGAATATGACGGGTCATATGAATTTGTTTCGAATTCGACTATCATAATTTTATATATGTCGATTTAATTATAGATGTTAATAGAAATAATGTTGATAATATTTTATAAGGATCTGAGTGTAAATAAAGAATAATAAATTATGAAGTACAAGATTTATAGGGGTGCACGAAAAGAACTATTGAAATGTTTGCAAGAAATTCAAACTAAATAAGTCTTTAATCATCTCAAATTTTTAGTCTAACTAGTCACTTCCTCTTCTATCTCCATTCAATTAATTTATGAATTTTTTTTATAATTCTTTAAACTTTTATTGAAAATTGACTGTTTATTTACTTGTTCGTGTATCTTTTATTTCTATACAAATTACATACCTTCGTATACGTAATCAATCTATAAATGAAATATTTTGAATACATTATCACTATGTCCTTCAAATTTATATCTATCTCTACCTCAATATTTATTTTTTCTATCTTATTTTCTATTTCTTTATCTTGATATTCTTACTATATATTTCTCAAATCATTTTATTTCTCATCTCATTCTCCAATTCTTTCTCTCAAACTTGAAAATACATTTTATTAACTCAGAACTATGTACTTGGATCATAACATATTTTTTATTATTTTAAAGTAAAGATTATGTTAAAAAAATAAATTCTTGAACTATGTACAAGCATACTGAAGTAAAAGCATAAAAAAAAAAATACAAAATTTTTTATGTGGGTTAGCAATGTGTCTATATTTACAAGTAAGACCGATAATAATGTATTTTATTATGATCAAATAAAAGTACATAACAAATAAATTAACAAATTTATTTATAGAAAAATTAATAAAATAAATTTAAAATAAATTTTTTTCTAAAATATACATCAAATATTTATCACAATATACCTTTAAAATATACATAAAATATTCATTAAGATAAACTTAAATCATTTATACAATATAAATAAATATCATCAAAATTTAAACTAATGTCATCATATTATATTGAATTTTTAACTTAATAACTGATAATTTTTAAAATTTTAATCGGTATTATGTTCCGTTAAAAATTTACATCAACAACACATTTACGTGTGTGTGTGTGTGTGTATATACGAACAACTTCATGCCAAGTTTAATCTCTTATTTTGTGACTAATGATGTATTAATTTAAAAAATGTTCAACATAAAAAAAAATATTTTTGTTAATAAACTTCTTACTCAACATAAAAAGCAATTTATTTACGAGCTTAAATATTTGTTAATCCCAGTTTAACATTCACGTTACTTTAATATATATAACAGCTTGTATTATACATAGGTGATTTACATATTTTGAAAAAATTTTAAAATTTAGGTTATAGTGTTCATCTGGGAATTAATATTAAATTATTAAATGATTTTCTAATAACAATTAGCACTAATATTCATTATTATTATAATATTAAATGTAATTATTAACTTTATTTTCATTCCATTTGTACACTATTGCATATATAATTTATCATTTACTTATAATATTTAATTTAATAAAATTATCAATATTTAATATTTGAAAAATACTGCGATTCAATTGTAAAATTTTGTCCCTTACAATTTAATTTTCTAACTCATGATAAAATTTGTTTTAATATTTTTTTTTTATAAAAATTATTTGTGTATTGCTTACATAACATAAAAATGACTTAAAAAGTATAATTAGTTTATTAGTTAATTTTATATTAACAAAGAAAAAAAACATATTGAAAACAAAACCAGTGGCGAATAATTACGAAACTAAAAAGGTAATTTCCATTGCATTTATAGGAAATATAATAGATTATATTGAACTTAATTTATATGTATATATATATATATATATTAAATGACTAAAAATAAAAATAAAAATATAATATAATAAACTTAAAATCAAACACAGTCTAGAATTTTCCTTATTACATCCGATAAAGAAGTAACCTCTATATTTATGTCTCTTTTTTTTTTTTTTGGGTCTACATAGGCATATAGGTCTTGAAAATTTATAACAAAAACAAAATTATAATAAGTAATAAAATAAGAAATTAAAAAAAAAAAAGAAGTAGAAAGGAAAAAATGGGAGGTGTTAAGATTCAATCACTTCTCTCTCAATTTCTTGGTTATGGCGAAGGCTGCCCCTGCTACAGCCACAACCACTGCCGAAATTAAAATGGTTCTTTTTAGTGTTTGCATTGCATCCTTCTTTTCCTTTGCTTTTTTAATTTCTGCAGCTTCAGTTTGCTCCTTCAATGGCAAACAGAGCAAAAAACAAAAATAAATATATGTTATATTACGAAGATGTTCGAGAATATCTTGATAAGACCTTATATTAGTTTTTTTATTATTAAATATTAAATAATTTTTAATTATTAATTATTTTAACAAAATTTTTAAGAATTAAACAGAAATTACGGTTAGAAATGTAGATGAATTATAATTGTGATTAGTTCATTTTAAATTTTTATTAAAAAAGCTAACGTAATTAAAATTTAAACTATATTAATGAAGTCTGACGATATCCAGCACCTCGTAATGTTCTGTTTTGAATGTAAATGGAATTACCGTAAATTTTTCTGCATATACAAACGAATGTCAAGATACAAATATAAAAATGCTATGATATGTATTGGTTTTACGAAGTTAATTACGTAGATCATTTTTCTTTCGTGTAGAACATATTTACTGAAAGGCTTTTGTGAAAATTAGTTGCATTGAAATTGAAGTTTAAGTGAGTGAAAAATATGTTCGTCAAAGTAAATGAGAGTGAAGTATTATATAATCGGATTTCAAAATATTAAGATCAAATTGAAAATTGACCGATAAAAATTTGAAAAGAGAAATGACAAAGAAGCGTAGTACCTTGATCTCCATTGATGTGGAAATTTCAGATGAAACAGGATCGACTTTGAAGTCCTTGTTGTCGCCGGGATTCAATTCTTCGCGAACAGCAGCTTCGGGAAAAGATTCATCCGAGCTCGCCATTTCTTCTCACCTGAAACTCTGCTCTTTCAAGGCACTAATGAAGTCGCTGTTGTTTGTTGTTGCTCTGTGTTTGCTAAGAGAAGAGGAAAAGCGAAAAGAGGAGAGGCCGGAGAGGCAGGCTTCTTGAGGGGGATTAGCAGAGAAGGGGTGCGTGACAAGTGTGAGAAATGAGATCCTGAGAAAGCTGGAAAAGTGGTTACGTTTTTATGGTCTGAACAACTTTTTCTTTCTCTCCCTCAGTTGTCCGAGAAATCTGTCGGCATCAACAAATATTATATATATATATATATATATATAATTTCTCAGTATACATAATTTCCTATATATATATATATATATATATACCGTGACAAGTGTCAACAAGTGATATAAGAAGTTTACATATAGCAAAAACACAAACTAAAAAAACTATTTATTTATTTCAAAAGTCATTTTTATTATATACTATAATGAACCTCCAATTGTGTGCAAGTAATTTCACATGAGCCCAATATTTTTATAATCTGAAGCAAAATATATATACATATATATATATATAATATTTATCATTTTTTAATTAAAGTAATTATGTTATGAATAAATTTTAAATTTGTTCCTGGTGTTAGAATAATTTTTATTATTCAATTTAATCTTTTTTTTTAAATAAAACAGAAATATTTTCATATGCCAATTGTATTTGGCATACCCATTGCTCTTTTGTACACTCTGCAGCATTGATGAATTGCTCTTCCCGCATTCCACATTAGCAGACATATAAACAGCCAGCATGTCAACATAGTAACACATTTCATACTTGGACATGTTAAAAGCTGAAGAATCATAAATCATGAAAACACATTTCACTGGCAGTGGTTGGAGTTGTCCGTGTAACTGATTTGAATCCTCTAGCTGCAGGCATATTTCTGCTCACCCAGAAATTTCTGTAATAGGTCCAAATATCTATAGCTCTCAGTTCCCAGCCCCAAAACCCCGAGGACCTGGCCGGCTTGAAGCCGAGTCTGCAAATTGTCTCCTTGACTCTGATCTTCTTTTCCTCCTTGCAGTTCCAGGCGGAGCCTAAGGAGCGGCAAGAATAGAAACGTTGTCCGATTAGCCTTACCTAAATAATAGCATTCTTCTTTGTCCATAACTCAATCCAATTAGACTTCAATTATACATACTAAGAAATACAATCTTTTTCCGTACATTAAAAAAATTCCTCAACTTTCATTTCCTAGATGCATGTGTTTATATATGTACTTATTCATGAAAATATGCATGTGGCTTGTTGATGAAAATTACTTTTTAGAAACTACTAAGAGTAATATTTTTAATATTTTCAAACATCATTCTTACTTTATCTATTTAAAAAAAAAATTTAACTAACTAACATGTTTTTTTGTATATAAATTCATATATATTGGAAAATAAAAATAAAAAAAAAAGGAAAAGTTTTGTGTTGCAAACAGAGCTAACACCTAAATGTATAAATGAAAAGCAAAACACATATATGATGTTAGGTTGAAAGTCACATAGCATAATGAGCGAGCGTGAACGGAAAAGGAACCTTTTGTTCAGCTTTCATTGCATCCTCAAGATTGCTTAATGCAGGAATAGATCCACCTTCCATGACGCCCATTAGGTTCTTCATCCGAACCCGCATTTGAAAGAGTTGGGCCACAACTTGGCTCACCTGATATTACAACCGCATGTTAATGCAGAGATCCAAAAGCAACTAGCACATTAAACACATGTAGCAACAATGAATACCTGCTGTTCTGTTTTCCCAGAATCCTGAGCAACTCGTTTCCTCCTAGCAGGAGATTCTGCCAACAATTCTGGCTTCTCCCTTTCCTCTGCCGAAGAGAAAGGGAAAAGGAAGACGATCAGAATCGAAAAAGGCCAAACAGTAACTAATCACAGGTTTGACTAAAGATGACAGAAGATTAAGATTATGTTTAGAAAAAAAACAAACAAACTTCACTCATAGAATTCACACTAGTTTAACTAGAGAAGATGGAAATCTCATAAACATAGTGAAAATTGATTTCTTATAATCAAATTAGGAATATAACAGTGCATTTCGAATTCCACTAAAATTGATAAAATATTTTTTCTCAACTCTTCTTAAAATTTCATATGAAGTTAATTTGTACCATTTTCTAATAGAATTCCATTCTCTCCTAGTTAATCCAAGTGTCAAATTTCAAATAAATTCCACAAAAATAATTAATTTGTTTCAAACATAGCCAAGCTTTGTTTGTGGAGTATATCTTTAGGAAGGACCAAACAAGGCTAGATTAAGCTATTCTGATGAATGACATCAATAAAAAGCAAAAGGTGTGAAAAGGACCAGGTGTCATCGCTTCAATCATTGCTTCCATTATCTTCAGACTCTTCTCTGCTTCTCGGACTTGTGCTGGAGTTACCTATTTGTGTACACATGGAAAGTTAATCACTTAAGAAAGACACTAAAGAGTTGACAGATTTTATTTCAGATTTGGAAAAACAAAAGGAAAGCCAAAAAGAAAAAGGTTCCACAGGAAAATGGGCCACCATGTAGTAGTATGGAGCAAGGAAATGCAACAACAAAATTTCTAACCTAGTATGTCACTGGGAGTGGAAGAAAGTTCCCCCATATAAGCTGAATTTAAGAGTAAATGGAATAATAACAGAAAAGGATCACAAATAAAGAATTTTCTGTTTGAGAAAAATGAATCAGGTAGACATACACCTTCGACATTCCTGGAATCATTCCAATGACACGAGTCATGGAACCCATACGTGCAACAGCACGGGTCTGCTTTAGGAAATCATTGAAGTCAAAGTTTGCACTCATAATCTTCTTTTGCAATTCTTCGGCATCTTCTTGGCGCATCTAGATAGACAGTTCTATAAGAATCACATCAAGATATATTAGTTCCCAAGAAAAGAAAAATGCAATTACTCAAACTTACAACTTCTTGTGCCTTCTCTACAAATGACAGGACATCTCCCATTCCTAATATTCGTCCGGCCATGCGGTCTGGGTAGAAAGGTTCAAGGTCCTCCATCCGCTCTCCTCGTCCTACAAGTTTGATTGGCTTTCCTGACACCTGGAGATATTCATTGATTTCTTAAAAATACAAAAATGAAGTTCTTCATGGAATTGACATACATAGAATCCAGCAATGACCAATGTGCTATGAGGAAACATTTAATAACTTCCATCAGAAGTTGCACCAGCCACTCAAATACTAACGCATGTAACCTCAATACAACCACATATTCGTAAACCACCTCCTTCAAGGTAATTTATTGATGGTATTACAAAAAGACCCTAGTAATTGTAACTTCTGAAACCTCAATACATGCACATATTTGCAAACCACCTCCTTCAAGGTAATTTATGGATGGTATCACAAAAGGCCCTAGTAATTGTAACTTCAAATGCTGAAAGGATGTAAATAAAGAAACTTATACTGACATTTTTGTGAGACTTGGATAACTTTCATGTTCATTACCTAATTGAAGTATATTATAGTATATCATAAAGCTATAGTGATGAACGAATTGATTTTTTATGTGCATGTAAAGCCTGATCTCATTCCATGTCTATTGTTGAAGGGCTTCACATGCAATGTGGCTGCTCAATAGTGACGGCAACAAATTTGAAACTCTTTTCTGGAAATGTATGTGAAATATAAGAATATTGAAGATAATTTTATTCATCAAGAGTATGTGCTATTTATAATAAACAGAGTAGACTGATACTCTAATGAGTATATATATTTCTAGTCTAACAAGACTAAAGTTGTATAATCCTAATGGTAAAGAAATTTTAATGTCAGTGATACATTCAAATTGAAATACATGTCAACTTTTATCCTTTTAGTATGAACCCTGAACATATGCAATATTACATGTGAAAACCTGTCTGCTAGCGTGCATTTACTTTACTGAACAAAATGGATTGGATTCTTCAATTCACCAGGATTTCTAACTTTTCAAGAAGCTCCGATAACACATAAGAGTTCCTAGAATGTTGCTATGAGATGTCAATTCCATAGAAAATTCCATGAGCTGTCGTCACCAACAAATACTTCATAGCAAATGATGAAGATGAATATCGGAGACACATGGAGTTTAAGAAACTGAGAGATGATGAAGACACTAAGTTTATTTCGAATGAGAACCTCCAGTGAAATTAGATAATGCCTTTGATTTCATCTCAACATAAAAGAAAACTTACGAAAATAGCAGCTCATACCTCCTTAACACTCAAAGCTGCACCACCCCTTGAATCCCCGTCTAGCTTCGTCAAAATGGCGCCAGTTATTCCGATCTCAACATTGAACGTTGTCACCAGAGCTGAAAACGATAAAGGACGGTAAGACAATATTCTAGTAGCAGTCAGATCCATAGATGCATCATAACCAAAGTTAAGCATAAAATTCCAGAGGCATGAAAACCTTAAAATGAACAGTAATGCATCTAAGCAGGTCATTCCTACACCGGTCAGTCAATTCCTCAGTAAATCTTGATTACTCTTTAGCATAAGACAGACAGACAGAGAACCAATTGCCTAACTGTAAGACCTTTCCCACTAATGAAAATTACCCATGGATGTCAGATTACCTACCAAAGAAAAGCCATTTGATAAGACTAAAAATTATTATTTACTAATAAATTTTGATTCTAGAAGCATTTTAAACCTCACAGCTGAAACTGGAATTTAAATACCTGCCGCTTCTTGACCAGTCATTGCATCCACAACAAGCAAAACTTCTGTGGGATTTAATACCTTCTTGACCTCTTTCAATTCATCCATCATTGATTTGTCTATCTGTCGGACATCCAACAAACAAAGATACATAAAACAAAAAGGCTCAAATAAAAGAGTCTATATCTGATTATTTAGGCATGGAGAGTTATCCTGGATTCGGTAAGTATTACCTGAAGCCTTCCAGCAGTATCCATTATAACTACATCAACATTTTTCTTTTTAGCCTCAGCTAAACCTTGCTTAGCTATTTCTGAAGGTTTAACATCAGTCCCTGCTGCATAAACAGGCACATCCACCTGTCACAAGCTATAGCTGAATTAAGAGAATACATTAAATCATAATTAGACCCAAAAAAAATGCTAAGGGCGAAAAATAGCTCAATGACCTATAATTAAACTTATTGTACTTCGTTATTCTTTTATCACCTACCTATCAGGTAATGCAATATAATGATATGGCTTACCCAAAAGAAGAAAAGGATGATTATATGGTTTCTTCAAAGAAGAAAAACATTAGTATACTAATCACATCTAGCGAAAAAAGATTATGATTAAAACTTTTATATAGTTATTCAAATTAAACAGCCAGAATCAAGGTGTCTTACTCCTTGTCTCTGGTGCTTCATATTTATTAAATTTAAAGAGTTCAAGTTCTCTAGACGCCAGAGTAAAAATTAACAAATTGCAAGAAACTACTTCTGCAGTCACCTTCTGAGTTTCATTGTGGTTTCACATCAACTAATAGAAAATTCAGTATTGTTCTGTCATCTTCATACTAAATTGAAGAAAAACAAAAACCTAGCACAGTTATCTACAACATCTCACCAGTAAGAGTACTTCCATAATTTTCGTAGAGAGAGAGAGAGCTTCTCTAAGTAACAAATACCTAAACATTTGATGAAATAGTTCACTTTTGTAGACACAAAATATATTGGAAAGAAAAACACCTAATGAAATAAATTTGTTGTTATCAATCTGGTACCGGAACAGACTACGAACAAAGAAAATCAGGTACCTGTTCACCCAAAATAACAAGTTGGTCAATTGCAGCAGGTCTGTAGACATCTCCAGCAATAAGCGTGCTAGTCTTTCCCTGCAGTTAATGGTATTGCACTAATGTCAACAGGATTATATAGATGGTAACATTCATCTCAAAACAACTAGATACAAGCGTGCACCTGTTTCTTAAGATAATTAGCTAACTTTGCACAAACAGTAGTCTTCCCAACTCCTTGTAGACCAGCCAACAGAATTACAGTGGGGCCAGATTTTGCAAAAACCAGTTCTGACACTTCTCCACCCATCAATTTTACAAGCTCGTCATGAACAATCTGTGGGAAAAATAAATTGTATTTGATAATCATTATTTTATTATTACTAAAATAAAGATTCAAACTCCACAATCTGCTCTTCTACCAGTAACTTCCAATTACCATATTATATATTCTGCCAAAAACCAGTTTGTTGTTAGCATCATAGAGTAAAAGAAAAAGTAAGATAGTGGATCAACAGAAGTATTTAACTTGCTATATGTGTCCTTAGAAGTTCATATCACAAAGAAAAATTCATCATAGTGTATAAGTTTTCCTTCCAAAGCATGTCGGTTTAATGGAAATTCATCTCATACCTTGACCAATTGTTGGTCTGGTCTCACTCCTCGAATAAGGTCAACACCAACTGCCTGGTCACTGACAGCTTGGACAAACCTTCTAACAACAGGAAGGCTCACCTAGCAAAAAGAAAAGAACAATATTATTCTGATATGGGACTAAAATTTTAATAGCCTATACAAACTCACTTACATCTGCTTCCAGAAGAGCTCGCCTTATGTCTCGCATGGGCTCCACAATATTCTCCTTAGTCAAAACCTCTGGAAGTACAATAAAACCACTCATAAACTAGAAGAACCAATAAAGATGATACAGACAAAAACATTGGTTTCTTCTAACTTATTTGGCAGAAAAAGCAGTTCTACAACATCTTTACTTGGATCCCAATCCTAGTCCCAGTAGAGGGGTTAAGAGCCATGCGTATCATGAAAAACCCATTTATTCAATTGGG